CTCCTTCTCTCGTCCCTTCTTCATTCCTGGACTGCTTTTTGGTTGACCATTTCTCATGTCCCATAGAGACTGTCCCATAAGACTGTCCCATACCAAAAAGTACAAGCCACTCTTCAGCTCTCCCAAACCATCCCAGCAGACTTGTGCCTACTTATTTAAGAAGTAAGATTAAAAGCATTTTAAGGTTTTAAATAATCCCAGCAAATTTAAATAAATACTCAAACTGATCACTTACTATAGTTCACATCAAAGAAATACAGCAAACAATTTTCACCTTGCAGCTGAATTAATAGAGTTTTGAATGGACGACAATAAAAAGCTTTAATTGGCATAGGATAGTTTTTCTGACAATTCACTCATGATAAGCCACAGTACAACTGAAAATTACAATGTTTTGAGGCTGTACAGTCTCATTAGACTGCAGTAGCCTTCTGATGACATTCAGTACCACCCTCATAGCACATTTGAGACACTTATCTTTTCCCTGTTCAGGAATTTTTACACAGACCAGCTTTTGGCAACAGGAAATGCAAGGAGCAGCTGTTCTTCAAAACAGGATGTGAAAGCAGAGCAGTCACAAAAGTGTAGGGCTCTTCCATATGGAAAAGCTTCAACTTGGCATTAGCAAGGCATGGGGAGAAAGACGACAGCCCTTAATAAAAAAAATATTTTTTTAAACAAAAACTTTCAGTTCTACAACATATTACACTTAAATCTAATGTGAAATCTCTAACTATTCCTCCATTTATGCTGTAACATGCTTTGTTAACCATGAAACTCACACAAAGATGTTTCTTATCAAATAAGTAATACTGACATTGTTGTGAATGTTTAGTTTTCAGTTAGCTGTAACTGTATATTTAAGAATGCCTTTTATTTTGTTCATGACCTTTTACAAAGATCATTTCCCAAGGCATCTGACATCTCTTCAGAAGGAAGAGTGGAAAATGGGGAAAATGCCASGCTCTGCTCCAACTTTGTGCGAGGGTACTTTCCCAAAACAAATGATTCAGAGGGGGGTTTCTCCTCAAGCATGATGCAAGCCATTGGGACGGAATTGTGCACTTTTTCCCGATAATAAACAGAAAAAAATGGAGTTGAGGACAAATCCTAAGTAACTTGATTTTGACTTTGCCTTCTTGTAACCTTTCTAAAATAATTACTACACATGCATTACACATGTAGAGAAAAAGCACCATTTTCCATATAAACTTTTATTCCASATCACTATTTTATCAAATTCATTAGAGGGATAAAAGTGAGCGCTGTATGTTTTGTTTGACAGAAGCAACTTCACATTAAGGGTAGTATTTTCCTGGCAGCCACAGCCTGGGTCCATAAGAGACCCCACACGTGTGCTGAGCCTGTGGGCAGCGGTGCGAGCCTTGGAGCCGAGGGCAGTTGATTCTCACTTCTCTGCACGGCCCAAAACTCAGCTCTGTGGGAGACCTGCGCGGGCAGAGAAGCCTCACGAGGATCCTCGAACTGGATCCTGCTCTGTCTCCACGCAGAGCCCCCGCAAGGGCCCCGGGAGCCCTCCCAAATCCCTAAYGACCAGAGCTCAGCAGGAGGCCAGGGCACCTTCCCTGCCCCGGGGCCATGCGGAGCCTCGGCTTCTACGGGCCTGGAAGGCAACTCAGGCCCCAGCCGGCGCTCGGCTGTCAGGCTGACAGAAACAGTAACTCCCGGTGCCGTTACCGGCCCATCACGAGAACTGGCATCTTCATGGGAAGCCTCATAAAGAGCACTCCTATGAAATCATTACCGAGGAAGCATCATAAAAAGTTTAAGAATAATACAGGATAAATTCAATAGGAATACACAAACAGAATCTGTAAGACATCTTGTGTTGCCAAAGARCTTCCCCTACCCTGGGGGAACCCAACATTCCTTGGGTTTCCATCTAAATAATTTGTTTCCTTCCTCCTAATAATCAGCTAAAGAAAGTCTGTTCATCTCTCCTTCCATCAATCAAGTGCTACTGATAACATTTTAGGTTGCTCTGCCTTTCACACACACATCCAAGACAGCAGAACAGGTCCTCACTAATGACCTGTCTCTGAACCTGGGGTTCCCCTGAGGTGCGTCCTATGAACAGCTCATGTTTTGAAGGCGCTTGGCTGCATTCCTCAATCATACAAGATATTTACAGGAGAGTATCATAACATACACTATTTTTTTTTCATAACTTGTCAGAGCACCCTAGATTAAGAACAGACAAGTTTAATTTCTGCTGGATCTCACTTTGGTATCATCTRTTATCTGTAAAGAAATTAAACAGGATCAGTTTTCAAAAACTGAGATACTTTCAAAAACTGAGATAGAGAAGTTTTCAAAAACTGACAGAGAAAGCTACCTGACTGCAGCAACACTTGTTGAACTACCAGCCCTCCAGTCTACCCGTGCAATGCCTGAATGCTGACCCACTCCCTGTGCTCTTGCATGATTGTTTTATCTAGGATTTAGCACCAAGCACGGGAAGGGATCTGACCATTKGGGACAGGACTAGAAGGGGGCATGCGCCTCCGGCTGCCCTACAGGGACAATGGGGCCCCGGGCCTGCCAGGGGAACACCCATGGGCACACACATCCCTTCCCATCTGAAAAACATTTGGAGGTTGGGGAATCTGTTTTCCCAGACATGACCTCCTTCATGTGCACATCATTCATAAAATAGACTTCAAAAAGCTATGAAATAGCTAAATATCATGGTACATAAAAGCATGCAGTATACCAGCCCAATTTTATTGCATCTCAGAATAGCGACCAACAAGGAAGAGCTGTAAAATCTTTATATGATACTCTTCTATTAAATTCCCAGGGTTATTAGCAAACTGTTGGAGTAGTATTCTGGGTGAAATTGGGTACTGTTTATCTAGGTGCACATGAGCTACTGGATGTAAACATGTTTACTTAAAACAGTTCATGACCAAGAACAAAAAGTCAATAAATCTGAACAGCTTTCACTTTGTGTAACTGTAGATTCAAGGTATTTACACTACTCTGTTCCAGCTTTAACACTCAGATCTTGAACAAACCTGGCATAATTTATGTGAGCAACTCGCATAAGGCACAGAGAGATTCTGTACTCCTCCACACATATCATAGGATCTAATTTATTACTCCAGCTATGAAGCAGAGAACACTAATTATAAATAAAGAACCACAGGTGTTTCCTATGTGTTTTTCTCCCTTTCTTATCACTCCTTTTCAGTGGATCTGACATTTTTTAGATTAACGAGTGAACGTTAACTTTTATATGAATCAACTACAGCTAGTAATTAAGTAACATTTAAAATTATTAGAACAGAGATTAACAAGGAAAAACACCTATTTACAGGTATTTTTGGACATGGTCAAAGCAAGCTATGCATTGATCATTTTATTACTTATTAACACTACAAGTATTTGCTCTTGCAGTTCCTTAGGTAGTATCGCAGCATCACAATTTTTGTTCTCTGTGAAAAAAATCAAATACGTTGCCTTGACAAAACGGTCAGAAGTCAGGAAAAACAGCCTGAAAGATGAGTATGAAACACAGGGACAACAGACTGATTGAAGAGGAAGGAAACCTTCTGCAGAATGGGGCTCAGACCTTGTAAATCTGCCAGGGTCCCTGACATCATCACAAAAACAGTATGGGAGCARAGAAAAAGTGGCAGAGGAAAAGTGCAATTACAATTCAAACTAACTAAGTGTACCTGCTGCTTACAACATTTTCATAGTCTCCAGACTTTCTGAATGGAAAAGCTGATCTTAAATACAATTGATGGTATCTTTGAAAGCTGAGACTAGTTATGTTAGCAGTTCTATCAAAAGCACTGTGACAATTAAAAATAAAATAAAAAGAGGGGGAAAAAAAGCAACAATGGACTCGGGTCCCAACAGAGCCAAATAGGTTACGCTAAGATTCAAGAGCATTTTCCTGACAGTATGGAGTTAAATGTCTCATACAACAAAAGTTTCCAAAATGTCTT